CAGGAGGAAGAGACGCTGGATGAAGATTGGATTGTTTCTTTTTTGTTACTTTTTTATTAGGATTGTTTTATAAAATTGATGAATGTTAGAAAAATGTTGGAACGAAATTATTTGGCTTTAGCAAAAATGTTTAAAGAATTATGTAAGAATATTATGGTTATGAGAAATTGGTAAAAATAAGATTTAAGTTTTAAGCTTTAAGGTTTTTATAGTAAGATAAGATTAAAATAGAGTAAGGTAAAGTAATGACAGAATATTATGAAGTATGGAAAGGATTTGCTGCGACAATTAATAACCAGGATACAAAAAAAGGGAGGAGGAGGAGGTCAAAGAAAGAAGGTAATGACAGTTAAGGATTTGAGAATATTGGATTTGTTTTTAAATGTTTGTGGTATATTTTTATTTTTTGAGCGTGTTGTGCTATTTTTTGATTTTGATTTTTATTAATCTGTATTGTTTGACTGTGGTTTGTTTTTTCTTTGTTTTTTCTTTCTCTTTTTCTTCTTTGTTTTCTTTTGTAATTCAAAAATTTTCAATAAATATCATTTTTTTAAAAAAATGGTTGCTCCATGTGGCAAGGCATGAAGGCAACAGCTTGAGAAGTAAATATTTTCATTCCCAGGGCAATAAATCACCAGTGATGAACCTATATCCCACAGGTCTAATTAGGACCACTGGGGCTAACTCACTCCCGCCTACCCAACCCTGGATGTCATATGTCAGGTGTGTGGCAGGTAAGGATGTGGCCAGGCCACAGAGGGTTTACAGGTACTGTTAATCAGTTCCTCCAAAGCCCTGGGTGCAGTATTTAGCCGGGGCTTGAATAACCCTATGCAAGGAAGCCCTGGCAATCCCCACAGTCTGCACTTTGCAATCCCAATGATCAGCTAATCATCAGGGCTTGCAGAAAGTGGTCTCAGTGCTATCCGAGCCCCAATGATCATTGGGCTGTCAGAGCTGCTTTGCACAGAACTGTGCAAATCTGAATCGGCTGCTGCCAGGTGATTGACAGGTTGATGTGCTGCCCTGCCCACCTTTCAATCTCATTTAATTCATGCCTTCCTCACTTAGTGCTACCTGGAATTTCATCCAGTGTATGTTTGTATTGGGGAGCTTTGAGCGATGCCCTAACCCACTTCTACAGTGGTACCTCGGATTAAGTACTTAATTCATTCTGGAGGCCCGTTCTGAACCTGAAACTGTTCGTAACCTGAAGCACCACTCCTGCTGCTGCCGCACCGCCAGAGCATGATTTCTGTTCTCATCCTGAAGCAAAGTTCTTAACCTGAAGCACTATTTCTGGGTTAGCAGAGTCTGTAACCTGAAGGGTATGTAACCTGAAGCATATGTAACCTGAGGTACCACTGTAGCTTACCCCACATCCTCCTTCTGAAGCAGATCTGGCTTGATTTTTGAATTGAATAGTTGGGACAGGGGAGAGAAGAGAATTTGGTTACCGCATAATGATTATTATTTTTTTGTAAGCATTTTGCGAACAGAGTACAATTACAATCTTTCGTTCCCTTTCTCTCATTTGCCATTATATCTGGGGGAGTGGGGGATAGTGAGCAATAAATTAGCCTAGTTAGAGGTGTAGGCGAAGGCCTTTCCTTGTCAGCTGTGTCAATAAAGTACAGGCATAACATCAGTTTCCCATTACACACATCTTTCACACTCATATATTACTCAGTGTAATGGGAAAAGGGACACTGCTAGCTGAAATGAAAAGCGAAATTGAAGCAAAACCAGCCAGTAACAGCTGAGAGGAGAAAAAATAAAAATAAAATAAGCAGTAGCGACCAAGCCTTTAGTCAGCATTTCTGGAAAGAAGTGGTTTTCCATCTCAGAAATAGTCTATTCTACAGAGTAGAATAGTCTACTCAAGGAGATTCCTGGAATTAAATATATTTCTTTTCCTTCTATCAAATCTCTCGGAATGCTATGAATACTCTGTATAGTAGGCTTCAAACTAATAGTGGGGGCTTATTAATGCACATAAAGAAATACTAACAGTGTTTATGGTTTCTGAAGACTCAAGAGACATCATTGCTGACGCTAGCCTCTAAATGGCCTTTACCCAAGACCAAAATCCCTAAACCTCCACTCTAGCAAATGACCCCCCACAACCAGGCCAGCTACTGAGGGCAATCTGCCTTTGTAACTCAAAAATCATCTAGTTGTAATTCTGGCTCCTCCAACAGTTTAGTCAGCTGTGAACATCTGCTTCTATGACCTTCCTCTGGAATGAACGTTTCACGTAGCAGCCTCTCAGACCAATTCAGCCACTGGTTCTACAGACTACCTCAAAAGGTGGCAGACTTCATTTGAAGATTTTCAACAGAGTTCGGATGACCGCCTGCCAGGGATTCTCTAGATGTGATTCCTGCATTGCAAGAGGTTGGATTAGATGACACTTGGGGCCCCTTCCAACTCTACAACCAGAAAAATAATAATAATAACACACCGGGTATTAATATGCTAGCCATATCTATTCTCCTCAACTATTCTCTGATCACATTCCTCACACTTTCCTCATCAACCGATTTGTGTGTTCAGTCCCAGAAACCTCCCCCCTAAATTCACACATGACTCAAATTTTGGTTTTGGTTTTTGGCGGAATTTCTGATTACAGAAAGTGACTGGTTGCATAGGCTCTGGTTCGACTAGCTCCCTGCCATGCAGGTAGCGCTGACCCAGGGTTCCAGCATGGGTCAGCCAAGGGTGAACACCTGGATAAGGGGAAAGCCGGGAACGGGCTAATTCCGCCACCCAAATGTCCCCCTGGACTCAGGCACGGGCACAACCCCCTCTCAGGGGTTGACCAAACCATCAATTCCCTGGATTCCTTTAACGGAATGCCCTTCACATAGGGATGGTGAGACTGCTCTCCCATCCCTATCACCTGAACCAGATCCTGTCTGCAACCTTACAAGTTGTGACAATTTGCCATGCGGCAGGCGAAACCCAAATGGCAACAGCCAAACAGCCAAGTGGGGGGAATTCCTGCCGTGCCCCTGTCCCAATGACAGACGGCACACGACGGTGTAGCAAAGTCAAGCGCAAGCCCTAAAAGGGCGGGTGTTCCGAATGCACGCACCAAAAGAGGAAGCTCTGGGTCACGTGCATGGGTATAAATAGGTCCCTTGAACCATGGACTGTGTCCCATTGGCCAGATTGCACCCAGCTTCGAGGGACCTACCAATCAGGTGTTGTGGCTGACCAATAGAAAAAAAATATTCACAAATTGCTGCAAACTGCGAAATGAATTGAAGAATGGGAGAAGGGGATAGAATCTGAAAGAGCAGGAATTAATAGATTCTTCCATCTCTAGACAGAACCTGCCACCAAGAACTTGTGCAACATTGCAACAGTACAAGGCCTTGAATGGTCACATATATCACAGAAAATTTTGACCCATTGCAAACAAAAATATTCATACAGCAGTTCTCCATAAGAAGCGATTCTGAGACAATGAAGGTGTGCTGGTCCCGAGGGTTAACCGTGCGGCAAGGTCCAAGTCCAGTCTGAGGTCAAGGGTGCGGTATGGAGGCTGTCCATCAAAGCTGAAGCGGGGTCCAAGGCAGGGAGTCGGGTGGGGTCAGGAACTCTGGCAGAAGAGCAGGACAGTGTGCAGGCAGGAACAGGCTACCAACAATGTTGCCCCCGCATCCTGGGACTGGGGCTGGCTGGCTTTTATCTGCCCCGAGGCATAGGGCGGCCCTGGTCCACAGGTGACTCGCCTCTCCTGGCCTGAAGGCGAGCACTTCTCCTGCGGGAACTTAGTTCCCTCCGCCTCTCTGCCCTGAGCCTCTGCAGCTCAGGAGAGGCTGGAGGGTTACTGGACCCAGAGGCAAACTCAGCTTCCCCTGACAGGACTGAGAGTGGAGCACCTGCAGGCAATGGGTCCTCCATCGCCTCAGGAGCCAGAGCAGACTCAGCTGGTGCCTGTACCTGAGGATCCAGCACAGGTGAGGACCCTTCAGGCTCAAGCCCCAGCCCTGGCTCAGCTGGTTCTGGAGGCAGGGACTCCTGTGCAGGCTAGGATTCCTCAGGTTTAGCCTCCGAGTCCGAATCCCAGGCCATCACAGAAGGTGAGTATTTGGGCCCTTTCTCCTCAGGTGACCAACCACTACTGGTCTAGACAGTATAGTCTGGCAGTCCAGCAGGAAGTTGCCTTACACTGAATAAGACTAGTTGGCAAAGCCACTTCCGAGCTTGGGAGGAGGTGGGGTTGCGGGCTTCACGCCCACCCCAAGTGCACGGGGGCTGTTCCAGCCCCCGTGAGAGTAGGGGAATCCTTAGCCGCGTCATCCTCTCCACCAGCCAATCGGCTGGCTGGAGAAGGGGGCGTGGCTCGCCCCTCTTGCATCCGCGCCAGCCAGCCAATTTGTTTCCCACCCTCCCTCCCTTTAGGTAGGCTCCCTGACTTGCTATGGACTATGGCCTCGGGGCCTGGTAGGAATTTTTTCCAATTGGTAATTGGCATATACAGCCAATTGGTTTTTCGCCTGCCTCGTAGCAACTCGTCACAACTCCTAGGTATTGGCGGTTAGGCATTGACAAAGAGAGGGTTAAGTGTGTGTGGGGGGGAGGGAAGCGCCATCGCCTTCCCCCACAGAAAAGGGTAGTCCGGTAAAGGACTCCGGGGGGCGTGGCCCTGTCCGAAGCCTATGGAGGTGCAGGCCCAAGGCACGCCCCCAAGCAGTTACTCCGGGGGAGCTCCTAGTTGACGTGCCTCAGCAGGGCTCCCTCTAATGGTGGTTAACCCTTGCCGGTCTTCATGCAGTCGGGCTGAAGCCGGCTAGTCAATAGGGCCAATGCCTAAGCCAATACCGCTCATTCCTGTAATCAATAAAATTGTGGCCTATTTCTCCCATTAACCTTAATTCTTGGTGTCCTGTGTCTTTATTTCTTCCTGGGAGGGGGCGGGAACTCGCCACTCAACACTGACTTTTTGTGGCTCTCCAAGCTTTCAGACAGGGATATCGCCCAGTCCTACCTGGAGAGCCCAAGGAATTGAACCTGGGAACTTTGGCATACAAAACAAGTGCTCTGTCACTGAGCTATGGCCCTTCCCGAAACCATTCGAGTAGCTTTTAGGCTGTGTCAAAACGATCACACTTTCTATTATATCAGTTTTAAAGCACATCCCTCATCTTTCTGCCCAAAGGGGCACTCAAGTTGATGGTGTGAGTCACCATCTTTGAGACTCGGTTCAGCAACCGCATCCTGCCTTGCAGGATTTCTGAAGATGTGTAATGCAAAAGGGAGCAATGTTTGAGTTTTCCCTAGCTTGCATCGACTTCTCTTGCCTTGAAAATAAGCAAACATCGCTAAGAAAATGACAACCTAAAGTGGCCTCTATCAAGCTGATGACAGATATGGTAGTTTGCTGATTGTTGCATTTCCAATAAGAGGCACGGGGAAGTAAAGGACTGCAGAGAGGGGAGCTTGAAACTAAGGGAATGTGAAGCCCTCCTGATAAATTTCACTTATTTTCAAGACATGCTTTTGAGGGGGTTTTTTACCTACCGATACTTTGCTGGGTGGGGAGCCATCCAGTTTCCATCCACTTTAATTGCAGGAGGAGAGTGTGGGAAAACCACACTCCAGTCTAACTTATGCATGTAGGGCTTCAATCAATAGACTAAGCTGTCCTGCCAGGTTTAGCTCATCTTGGGAGGGACTAGGACTCTGGGATCAGCAAACTAAGGCCCGGGGGCCGGATGCGGCCCACTGGGCTCGTTAACCCGGCCCACGAAAATTGTGGACCCTGCTGCCCGCTCAGTCTGTCCCTGCACTAAACCAGTGTGGTGCGGAGGCCTCGCCACGCAGGGTCTGACTTCCGCAATGCTGGCGTGGCTTCGGATTGGCTGCAGGAAGCTCCTGCGGCCAATCTGAAGCAGCAGATGCCTCTGGGCAATGCCCCTTCCTTCCCGCTGAGGCAGCCGCATATGGCCAAGAGCTGAGTGGGAGGAAGCGGCAGCGGCGGGGAGGCTGCCTCCACTGCCCAGGCCAGTGGCATGGGCTCTGCGGACCCCTAGCTGAGGCAGAGGATGACGACGATGCTGCTGAAGATGAGGCAGTGTTGGCTGCGGCGTGAGTGGCGTGAGTGGCAGCAGCGGGGGTCCTTTTGGGAGAGGGTGGGTCCAGCACCCCACAAGGTCTGAGGGACAGTGGACCGGCCCCCTCCTAAAAAGGTTTGCTGACCCCTGGACTAGGTAGTCAAGCTTTGTTTCCCTCCCAGTCTATCTAAGAAGCTCAAAGTTGCTCCAGCTCACATTGTATGGCTCTCACAAGCAGCTCTTGAGTTCCTATATCAATAATGTAGGAACTTTCATCACTTTGGAATGAAGACCAGTTTTGCTGCCTGTGCAACTTTTCTGATTGTTGAATGGAAAAGCACTAGAACCTGACCTTTGAAGAGTTTGTAAGTAAACCAATTTTAACTTACCCAGCATGTGGTCTTTTCCTACTATTATTTTCTGTTGTTGACGACGACGACAATATTACTTATTTATTATTTTATTATTATTATCATGGAATTGTAAAGTTGGAAAAACCATGAGGGCCATCTAGCCCAACCCCCTGTAATGCAAGAATCTTTTGACCGATGTGGGGCTCTAACTCAGGACCCTGAGATTAGAAGTCTCATTCTCTACCAAGAGAGCAACAAGGGCAGCAGATAAAGTGACTTCCCTGACTGGCTATCGAACCAGGCCATGGCAGTGAAAGCACCAAATCCTGTCATTGTAATTTGCTTTGGTACAATTTATTGAAGGATGAAGTATAAATAAATTCAGGAATTTAATGGATGATTTTATTGCTTATTTTATGTGCTTATTTAGCAGTATTTTAAAGCCGCTTTCCTGGGCAAGCCCATCCAAAGTGCTTTACAACATTTGAAGCCCCCTCGCCCTGATAGGTGAAGAATATACTATTAATAAAAAGCTCATTAGAATTACAGGTATATCTGGAAACCAACAAAATAATATCACACCTCTAAAGCTGATAAAAATATGCATTTTCAGAACCTTCTGAAATCCCTACAGCCACCAGGGAGTAATCCTGTTCTCTAGCAGTGTACTCTGTGACCACAGAGAAAACATCTCCCTTGATTATTATCTTTTTTCTTTTTCAAAGCGTCAGGTTGTGGAGATGTTTTGCTAGTTTGATTAAAACTCTTTTGACTTGCCTGGACGCAACACCTGAGCAGGAACTCTCAGATTCGGTATGTATTTCCATTTAGGCAGAATTTCGGTAGCAATTCTGTTTGAATCTGCAGTGATTTGTCAAGAACAGTGTAAATTACACGTCCGCTTTCTCAGAACAAGGAAGCACTAAATAGTGCCGACAAGATAGTCAGATGATAAACCATTCCACTTCTGGAGACATTTGTGATGGAAATGAGTTAACACGTTGAGGTGTGCGCCTGATTACTCAAGTTTCTCAACTTCCCGGCTTTGAAATATCAAATGGAATTTCCAGCTCTGTGTTTATTTGCAACGTGCTGAAGAGGGCAGGAGGTTAGAGAGGGGTTTAATTTCACTTTGGAATACTTCTTAATAATAAAAAATGGGGTAGCATCTTCCTTGATTTCCTAATGGTCTTCGAAGAAGGTGCAGTGATTGCATAATAGGCTGTCAAATGGGTGCCTGATTAGTTTAGTCAATTTGGCATAAATTTCAGCTATTATTTGCAACAAAAAGATGTGGAAGATGAATAGCACAGCTCCCTTATATGGCACACTTATCAAACGAGTTATTCGACGACTCCCCCTTTTCTTTCTTTCTTGTTCCCACAATAACCTAGCAGGGAGTGAGCGAGATGATGAGAGAAAAAGGAAACCTAAAATCAATGCTTAATTAATTATCCCATCTGATTTCTTCTGTTCCCCAATTGGTGGAATCACAAAGAGGCCATTTTCATCCGAATGCGTAAAAAAGGAGCTGGAGAGGTTCATCAAAACTTTAGGCAAGTGTTTTGTTTACATTCTGACATGGCATACAGAGAGCATTTTTGGGAAAAGGGTAGCCATCTCTCAAAGATGCAGTCACAGCTGGGGCAGTTTTGGAACAAAAATCGCTGGAATAGAAGAACTCTTTCTATCTTTGAGGAAGCTGCATCAGATAGGGAACACCATTGCAATAGGCTCCCTGGCCTATTGCAATGGTGTTCCCACCAAACAGGAAAGCCTCATGGTGAGCTCAAGACTCTCCCACCCCTCATGCCAGCCCCCTCGTAACCTACTCATGTGCAATTTTTGACATCCCACAGGATGAACCTGGTTGTCATAGTTGTCTCCTGCAGGCTGAAGGAGAGAAACTGCAGGGGAAGTGTGAGAGAAAATTCCCGGGGGGGGGGGTGTTCCAATATAGAATCATAGAATTGTGGAGTTGGAAGGGACCCTGAGAATCATCTGGTCCAACTCCCTGAAATGCAGGAATCTCAACTAAAGCATCCATGACAGATGGCCATCCGAGCTGTGCTTAAAAACCTCCCAGGAAGGAGAGCCGATTGCTTTCTGAGAGAGTTTGTTCCACTGTCAAACAGATCTAACCATCAGTTATTCCTTATCATAGTCGGAATCTCCGTTATTGTAACTGGAAGACGTTGTTTCAAGTCCTAACCTCTGGAGCAGGAGAAAACAAGCTTGCTCTATCTTCTATGTGACAGCCCTTTAGATATTTGAAGATGGCTATCGTATCTCCTCTAATTCTTCTCTTATCTAGGTTAAACATACCCAACTCCCTCAACCATTCCTCACCAGGTTTGTTTTCATCAAGATTCAGGAATGAGATGGTTATTGGGTGAAGGGAATCCTTGAAGATTAGCTCTATGCTAATCTATATCTATATCTATATCTATATCTATATCTATATCTATATCTATATTTTCAGAAAATTCCATCCCTACTTCTGAGGCCCTCACCAAAAGCTTGCAAGGACTACAGTGTGATGAACTAGGCCTTTGACTCCTGGCTACCCCCATGCTCAGCTATCCACTCCACATTTTCTCAAATGCCTCTGGCTTCCTCCAAGTTCTTCCTCATTGAGAAGGAATGTAGTTCAGCAGCAGAACATCTGTTTTGCATGAGGAAGCTCCCTGATTTGGGAATGTGCCCCATTTCAAAGCCAGGAGCACCACTGTCAATCAATATAGACAATACTGAGCTAGATGGATGAGTTATCTGACTCAGTATAAAGCAGCTTTCCCATCCTTCTGGTGTCCCCTCCTGACTTCCCTTCCTTTTCACCTCTTTCTACCTTCCTCCCATCAATACCAGTATAAGAAAGATCTTGAAGTTCATGTTTATCGTGTGCTTTTCGTCCCTCCCTCTCTCTCTCTCTCCGTGAGCAAGGGACACGGAAAGTAGTGACTAATATCAGAGCCACGAGTGCTGATATGTTTTATTCATAAACCCTGTCCCTCCAGTGAAATTAAAAGCAAAGCAAAGGGTCGGATCTCTGAGCCCTCTTTCCTAGAGCCTGTAAACCAATAAAGGGCTTTATATTAGCTATCGATATCTATCTCTGACTCGGCTTAATAACATCTTATTCCCTGTTTTCACCAACCATCAATAATATTTCTGCCTGCCCGCTCAGGTCCCCATCTCGCCGTGCAATTGCATTATAAAGGTCTATCAGTCCAATTTGCTTCACATTCTTACTTTTGGAAAAGGCTGGCTGGCTTTTGTAATGAGAGCAGCTGCCAAGAAATCTTGACAGAATTTGTGGCCCATCTGGTTTATAATCTCCATTCAATATCTCATGAGCCTAAACTCCCCGACCAACTGATAAGTCTCAGCGTGGAGACAAGGCAGAGGCCATAATCTGCAATGTGATTTCTCATTAAGGATAGGGGCATCTCAGCAAGTCTCTCATATCCTGGATATCATGGTGGAAGGTAGGGGGGAACCTTTTTTTAATAAGTTCCAACCTGTTACATCTTTCTCCTTTTTTGACAATACAATAAGAAAAATCCCAAGTATTTAGGCCGGCTTGTTGTCACAGTCGTAGCTGGAGAAAGGATATATTTTGCCGACATGGAAATGACTGAGTACTCGGCTAACTGAT